TTATTTTTTTTTAAATTATTAAAATATAATTTTATTTTAAATTGTTACTTTTTAAACCTCTTAAATGTCAATTTATAAACTTATATATTTAACATAAAATATTATAACATATTTAATTTTATAAATTTTAATAATAATAATAATAATAACAATAATGATCATTAATTATATATTAATCATGATAGTTGATGATTAATGATGATTAATGATCAATAATTAATTTTATTTTCAATTTAAAATTCATTTATGTTTATATATGTAAGGTCCTTTAAAAGTCCCCGAACATTAAAATTTCTCGAAAACGATGAACTATAATAAGAAATATGTAAAAAGCAAAATTGTAGTATATGAAAATATCTACCTAACAGATTGACTTTAGGTGAAGTTGCCAAGAACATATAAATTCAAGTTTGTTTAATTTGAATTTGAATTTTTAAAATGAAAACACCTATTTTTTATTGGACTTTCTTATAGCTGATGTCAAGGTGTTTTCAAAATAGTGCAAATAAACCCTTTATTCTTTTATCAACTGTCCTATCTATTTATAAGAATATTCATGCGATATATATAATTGAAAATTGATAAATCATTTGCACTATACTTATTGTTTATTTTAATATAATCATTCTCTAGGCATAGTGATATTATTGCACACATAAAATAAGGAAATTGTATTAACGTTTTACACACATGATTTTATTGCGCACATACAGATTGCACACATGACGTTATTGCGCACATACAAATTGCACACATGATATTATTGCACACATAAAATAAGAAAATCGAATTAACGTTTTGCACACATGACTTTATATAAAGTAACGTAATTTTGAAACACCACAATATCTCGAAAATTATTGACTGCCCAGATAGCCAAGTCTGTCGAAAGCAAATCATACCAAGTGCCTGCTATCAATTATTGTTAACAAAAAGGATACAAATTTGGTACAAAAGTTGTTATTTCAGATTAAATCGACAGATTGGTGCCGGACATAACAGATGCCAAATTGCTAGCAAGAGCTGAGGAAATCTGTTGCCAATCTGCTGGCATATTATGCGCATTTTGCTTACTGGGTGTATTCAAAACCTATATGAAACTGTACAATAATAGATTTTCTTTCGCACTGAAAGCAGCAGATGATGGGGCTAGACCTTGCTTCGCGTGGAAAATTACAAACCCACGTGGAACCTCGCTTCGCATTAAAAAGTGTATGCGTGGACGCAGTATGTTCCGCCCCCCCTGCGGGGGGGGGCACCACTACCGGATAACTAGACACATAGATTTGAACGGATCATGACTGCCACTTTTTTCAAGGTCAGGATCACTCAGGACGATGACCTTGACAATATATGTCAAGGTCAAAGTTATTGGGGCTAGCTCCATTTCGCATGTGCGCAATAAAGTCATGTGCGGGACCCCCCCGTATCAAAGTATAATATAAAGAAGTTAATGTATGTGTTTCCATTCATAAAATTTTCCCTCTTCAGAAAAGGCATGTTATTGACATTGTTGTGCCTTTTTCGCGATGTTGCTTGGTTGCTTCAAAATTCGAAATCATGTGTGCAAAACGTTAATACGATTTTCTTATATTATGTGTGCAATAATACCATGTGTGCAAAGTGTATGTGCGCAAT